CTGGGGTTGCTTAACTCAAAACCCAGTTACCAGAAGCCCTCACACCACGGCACCATGAGCAAAAAGAAAAAGGAGTGGAGAGCGGAGAAAGGTAAGACTCTTTTGGACTCTGGTCGTGTGTCTCTTCCGTTTAAAGACAGCATTCGCCTCGGTGGTGTCAGTTTGGGGTTTGACATCCTCCGGGTTTAACCTGAGGTCACGTCATGCACGTGGCGGGAGAAATGCCTTTTAATAGACGCTCTTCCTCTTGAATCAACAGCATGGACAGATGCACACCTTAAGATGCAGGTGCAGCATCAATACATGCTGCTGTTATCAAGGCCCTGGTGTATCCGGCGTTAAAACCTGTTTTAAAAGTGCACGTGTTAATGTACAGCGTTTTTTTTGTTGAATTGGAACATGCGTATGTGTGTTTGTTGCATTCGTGCAACACTGAGTGGTAACATAAAATCCCCAGCAGGTGCGTTGCACGACCCACGGTACAGTTATGGTCATAGTTCAAGATGTGTTTGACTTCAGGTCTGAAACTGTAACTGGTGTACTCCAAGTCAGCTTATATAAATGCATAAACTTAAATACAAACTTGAAAGGCTGTTAATTGCTCAGTTGTGACTGATATAAAGCAGGCATGTGCTTTGCAGGGATGCTCAAAATGCTGCTATTGTATATCCACTTCTATGAGTAGGTCAGTTTTAGTTCAATGTTTAACCGAAGTTAGTTGAAACTTTTTTAGAAGCAGGATAAAGTTGGGCTTGTATAGTGAAAGTTTTAAGATTTTGCATTAGATAATGGCTAATTCATATAATTATTTTAGCTTAATTTGATTAATAATAATGTTAAATTAAATTAATGAAAGTAATAAGCTCTTTAAGGGCTAAAATACTGCTACCTGTTTGACATGATTGCATTAACACACTTAAATGAAAACAAAAGTGAAATTAAGTGTTGAGAGACGAGAGAGATAGATAGATAGATAGAACTAGAGGAAAGGGTGATTTGTAATATACTTTGAAATATACAATTTACAGTATACCTATATAGATTATTAGGATAATGATTGAATGAATGGATAGATGAATAGGGGAAATATGATTGCATTAACAGACAATTTTAGATGGAACAAAAGTAAAGTGTTGACACTGGTATTAAACTCAGTTTAATAGTATCAAATACTGTATTAATTCATAACTCAAATCTACGAAATAAAGCAAATTGTCAGAACTATATTTTATATGTCATACTACTTGAATTCAATTTCATTTTTATTTAAAACATTATTTGTGCATACTTTCTCTGCCTTTTTATAAATACGGTGACTCTTTTGTTGTTATTGCAATAGTAATGCTAATAAAATAAATAAATAATTGATTACGCTATGTGATCTGTCATTACTGCAGCAAACTACGACCCGTATGCAGACAGTTAAAATTAAAGTAAAATAAAGTGGTCTATTGATTATTTGCTGGCACAAATGTGTGAGCATTTAAGTGACTTTCCACATGCAACATTGTTGAACCGTTAATGACCATACTACTGTTTACAAACTACAGTGGCACCGCCAGTATTTTGGAGCCAGAGTATTGAGGTGCTTTCGATAAACCATGCAACCTTACTCAGCTGTATCAACTCTGAGCTGGTTTGAGCAGAATAATGGCATTGCTGTCTGATATAGAACTGCTTGTTTCTGAATTAATCATGTTTCAACTCTACACTGCCGTTAAAATAGTGATTTGTAAAAAAACACTTCAGGAGTTCTGTAAGATGTTTTATTTTTAACCGAAATTACTTTAATCATACTTAAAAAATATATGTTTACTGTCTGTTGAAACTACTGAAAATAAGCTGCAACAACACAATTCTTGATGTTTCTTTTGAGTCAGCATAATTATTTTATGTTTAGTTCATTAAAATGAGTAAAAACTAATAAGTTAACCTAATTCCTTCATGTTGTCCCAACACAAATTGAGTGCGTTATGACTGACACGTTCCATTGAGCGCAAGAGACATTTATGATGTTGCAAAAGATTTTTATATAAAAAAGTTGTTAATTTTTTTTTTTGCATTAAATAATCTACACTTTTATTCATAATTAAAGGAAAATATTTTTCTGTTAATCTCTGTGAAGCTGTTTTGATAAAACTTGATCTGTATAAAGTACAGAAATAAATCACTCACTCACAGTGTGACCTGAAGTTCACCATAGCAGCGTAATGCTTGTTGAAAAATATGGACTCTGGCGAATAAGCTACTCCAAGCACATTAATGGTCCAGTATTGTAAATCAAATGCATAATAATAATATAAATTATAAACAATAATAGCTGTTTATTCATGGTTTACTATAATAGAGTAAACTGCACAAAGACTTCAGTTATAATATCTGTTGATGGAGATTTGATGAATCACCTTTGTTGGCTTATGTGCTATTTTAAAATCCCAAGTACATGTTGTGCTCATAAAGGGGCTCTTGTGAAGGAGATCATTCGTGTGGCAATAAGGAATGCAGGAAAAAAACACAGAAAATAAATTAATAAAGATGGTTGAAATAGCAGATGTAGGGGCAGCCAGCATGTAAAATCGGTACTGTCGGCATGAGTACTTTGGAACTCATTTATAGCAAGAATATCAAGCTAAAGTTTAATTTAGTTGTGAGAGAGACAAAAGAAATGTCTTTAAAAAGATTATAAAACCAATTTTGGGAGAGTCTTAAAGCATTTTATGTATTGTAATGGCCTTTCTCCTTACATAATGATATAAGAAGTCGGTTTACGTTGGTCATTTTCTGAAAATCTCTCGAATGTGTTTGTCGTTGATTTTAAAAATGAGAAAAAAACTTTTCAAAACTTTATTGTATTATTTAAATTGTGTTTTTTTCTCTCAATATGTTTAAATCAGAATTATAAATAAGTTAGGCTTTATTTTTGTTTAGTTTTTTTGGTTCAAGTTTTAGGTTTACTAGAGAAACAAAAATGAAACTGAAATCTTAGGAATAAAGTTGTTAACTTGTTGCTGCAGAATGAAAACAGAAAGTAGTAGATAGATTGGAATCAGAGACCTAGTGTATAAACTTCACTCTACGGCAGTCACTACAACATGACCTTATCTAACCATTAGCCTCATAAATATTTGCACTTTATTGAGGTATGTTGTGCATGTACTGTATGTATCTGGATAGAACTGATCACACCCAGTCTGGTTCCACTACGTTAGGCCTGCAGCTGTATGCTGAACAGTGTACCCTCATTAGCCTGTCACTTCTTTCTCGCACACACTTGCATGGCTGCCACAATTACCACACCAAAGAGTACCACTCTGACACGATGCACAGAGCTAGTCGCAGATGTTCCTTTATGAACCCCTCTGATGCAAACTGATTAGCTTTGCTTCACAAGATGTGCTCTTGTCTATCTGTACGCTATGACAGTATTGTTTCTTCTGTTCTACAGAGCGCCTTCTCAGCCTTAGCCTAGAGGATAGACGCAAAGATTATCGAGGAAACTATCTGGAACTGGACAAGATCCCCACCTGGGCAAATCATGACAGTAATACAGGTAAATCCCAATGCCTTTACGACTGATCTTTTTTTAATTTGACCTATGGCAGATGAGGTGAGAACTACAGAGAGATCTGTGTGAAATGTTTTGCTTTTTTTATTTTATTTTTTATTTTTGGTGACTCTAGTGCCTAAATTACACACTTCACCCATAACAGCCCCCATGCTGTTACAGAAGTGATTTGTATAAAAAAACACCTTAAAAGATTTTTTTTTTTGAGAGAGAAATTAATACTTTAATTAAACTCAAATTCTTTGCATCAAATAATTTTAAGATATACATACATTTTTATATAATATTGAAGACGAAGAGTAATGTCTGCTAAAGATTCAGCATTGTCATCATATAAAATAAAATATATTAAAGCTGCCATCTACTCTATTGGTTTAATAAGTTAAATTGTTCTCTGATATCTACGTAGTAGGTTTATGGATTCTGTAAGTTACAAAAAAAATCTCCACAAACTGTTTTATAAGCTCATTTATTACTCTATAAAGAATCAGAAGGTCCATGATTGCCCATATATGGTTCGTCTCATGAATATTAGTGAGCTCCACTCTGACATGTCGCTCTTACAGAGACACACACACGCACACAATATGATATACGCTGAACACGGACAAATATAAACCCAATAAGAGTAACGTTAACCTATTTCGCTCAACAGATCTGTTGTGGATAAAAGCTAAATTATAATTATACTTAACAAAAAAGTGTGATTAGAGATGTATGGCGTTGTATTTTGAAGCTATAGTAAAAAAAAAAAAACAGTTATTAAAATCAACATCTGCATGAACAGGTGACATTTGAGCTGAGTGATTTGACACAATTCAGTAGTAAACACGTTTGTTGAAACATGTGCATCAAATTTCACAATAAACACTAAATTAACAAAAGATGCAACTGAGCATGGGCCTTTGTTCACCAGGGTTTTACACATGGAATTTACATGAGAAAAAGGAAACAGTGGTGTCTGAGGCTAACAGTATGTCCATTTCCATATACTGATCTTTTATTATTCTATGCCTTTATATACCCAGATTTTCATTTGAGTGCACCTTTTAAAATAGAAAATATTTTAAATTGTAACTTTTCTCCAATCTTACTATATGGAGTCTATTCATTCAATTATTTTAAAGTTGCATAGTCATTCTAATAGAAGGTACTGGGTGTCCTCTTCTGCCAGCAGACCTGATAGTTACTCTGCATGCAAGTGACTTGCTGCCATTTAAAAGAGAAAGGACATATGGATCAGTGTGACCCTTACAGCTCCGATATCATAGCTTATTTATGGATAATGCAACCAGAATCTTGGAAAAGACTTAGCCCCTGTCTCTTTTAGCTTTTTGTTTGTTTGTGATCTAGATCTAAGGTAGCTTATGTAGATTTATTCAAATATTTGCTAGGCAAATAAATTTGATATACGGAATGAGCGACCTAGATAGTAACAAAGTTCTTGAATGTAGTTTTATTGCAGTGTAACGGAAATGTGCCATTAAGATAAGACTTTAGATTGGCAATCTAACCCTTTCAAAAATATTTGGTGTTATAAATTAAGAAATAACAAGGAATTGCATAATAAGAATATCATGTTGTCTTGTTTTAATACATAAAAACCATTATTTACTAATGTATTTATGCATTTTAGTTAAATTGTGGCTACAAAGGAAGTATTTCTTTCCAAAGGTTGTTAAATTATTTTAGACTTTGCCATGTTTTATGCTGTGTTTGTGTGAGGGATGTTAGATTTAAAAGGATAGTCCACTTAGAACTGAAAATTCTGCCACAATTCAGCTAATCCTCCACTTGTTACAAACCTGGTCGTCTATTGAACAAAGGAAGATGTACTGAAGAATGTTGGCCAGAAAGCAGCTATTTACTTTCATAGTAATGGCCCAACATTCTAAAGAATATCTTATTTTGTGTTTACCAGAAGAAATAAACGTATAAAAGTTTAGAACCACTTGTGCAAGTAAACGTTGAGCACTTTATTCATTCATTCATTTATTTATTTATTTATTTATTTATTTATTTATTTATTTATTCATTCATTCATGCATGCATTCATTCATTCATTCATTCATTCATTCATTCATCCATTCATTTTCTTTTCGGCTAAGTCCTTTCATTAATCTAGGGTCGCCCCAGCGGAATGAACCACAACCTTATCCAGCTTATGTTTTTACGTAGCGGATGCCCTACCAGCTGCAGCTCATCACTGGGAAGCACCCATACACACTAATTCACACACATACACTATGGACAATTTAGCTTAGCCAATTTCCCTGTACCACATGTCTTTGGAATTGTGGGGGAAACCAGAGCAGAGGAAACCCGACGCAAACACGGGGAGAACATGTTAACTCCACACTGAAATGCCAACTAACCCAGCCTGGGCTTGAACCAGCGACCTTCTTGCTGTGAGGCGATTATGCTACCCACTGCCTCATGCATCTGAATTCTCTGATCACAAACAACAGAGCAAATATGATGCAAATCATTTCTCTACTTTAACGATTAATTCATAACAAAGGAATTTTTGCAAAAGTCATGCTAGAATTTTTGTTTTGTCTCGGCAATAAATACTTCTTGAGACAAATCAGCTGTAGCAATTTTGGGACATTACCACAGGCTCCCTACGACAGAGAGCTTAGGTTTATGTAAATGGTCTGCAAAGATTGGTTATGGAAACAAAAGGTAAGCTCCTGATGACTCATTCAGCAGAATAATTTTTTAGAGAGCCAGCAAGCATTTTTTATTTTTAAAAGATGTCTAATAGACATCTAAACTGTCATCTTGGCTAAAACAAGGCTAAATTTGGACTGTCAGTGAAAATCTAATAGACGTCTAAGAATAGGCCAAAACTAGATTGGTCATCAAAAAAACAGAAATGATTGACAACACATGTAAAGTCTGTCTAATCAGTCTATTTGACAGCTAGTCTAGTTTGGGTTATTCTTAGATGCCTATTAGATTTTCACTGACAGCCCAAGTTTAGCCTTGTTTTAGCCAAGCTGTCTACATTTAGATTTCTATTAGACATCTATTTAACATAAAATTGTTTGCTGGTGAACTTTATCATGCACTGTCACAAACCGATACACCGACACAGCATTGGAAGGTAATATTTGCATTATAGAGAACATTAGATAAGGGAGAAAATTAGTGAAATGTGTTGATGAATTAAGTTGTGGCAACAAGTTTGTTAATTTGACTGCGATATCGATGTAATGATTTTAAAAGGCATGGTTCACCAAAAAAACCCATTTCATTGTTTAAACACCATTATGCCTAACCTAAACTACTTTTGAACCAGCAGATCAACAAAATAATGGAAGCAATGTGACTTAAAATAATTATAATAATTTGTATATAATTATTATAAATTTCAATTTCTCTCTCATCCAAGTTTCAGTGAATATTTTTATTATTTCCACACACAAAACAACAGTTGACTTCAAAAAAGTGTTGCACTGCCCTTTAATAGTTTTCTGTATGGTTGTTTAGTCTCCAGAGGTCTCATGAAAGGGATCTTGCAGGCCAATTTTTCTTTTTTCGTCTTCCATGGAAGAAAGTCCTTGAGATTTGAATGCAGTTAAATGCATTTGATTTTTAGGTGAACAACTCCTTTAAGATATTTATTGGGGTTTTCATTTTCTGTGTTAGTCATGTGAATTGCATGATATTTTTGTTGTTGTTGTAACTGTTTAGGCACAGTAGTAGAGGTTTCGTCCAATAAAGCACAAGCACAAAGCATTTTTGTTAATGTAAAACAAATTTCTAAAACCCTTGAATGGACTCCAGTTCTTGAAAAAGAACTCTCGTAGATTTCTAGCTTTTAAACAGAAAGTGCTTCCAAATTATTTAATGAGAAAGGAACCCATGTAGGCATAGTGGTTTATGGCTAAGTTCCAGAACAGATCATGAGTCCAACAACATAAAGGACTGCTCTGAGATTCCGGGTTTCATCTGTCCCTACAAATGGTCCGGTGTAGCAGTCTCACAAGTTGGTTAATGTGACCTGGATAGCAATGGCTTCTGCATTTGTAAATACGTTACTGTATTTTTGTTCTGCATTTAAGTCAGAAGTAGCTATTTACTCTTATTTTACCCTCAGTATAAGTAGCAGTGGATGAGTTTACAGAAGAAACCCGTTTATACAAGTAAATACTATTATTAACGATAACATGTCTATAGTGGTAGGTGGAGTTAGTGAAATGGTGGAGTTAGTGAAATAGTTGATAACTTTTTAAATTGTTTTTTTTTCGAATTCAATCTTTTTCAGTTCTTGAGTCCTTTTTAATAGTAACCATGAACGCATGTACAGCTAATAAAAAAATTTACTAAGTTTAATACAGTTTATTAAGAATTTAGAGTTAAAGTACAATTTTCTAGAACACAATGAAATGAGCTTTTCTCTTTTCTTCAAATTCAGCTTATTTTTTGTATTATTTGTGTGTCGTAATCAAAACTGTATAATTTATGTCACACAGACAAAGAAGTTAATATTCTCAAAATTTGGCAAGTTTACTTGTTTAGCTGATTCCATATTCTTGTTAGGATTCCACATAATTTGCATTAATGTGTGGAAATCCTAAAGCTATACACCCCATTTTGAAAATAAACATTTTTATCCATTTCTCAGTGAATATAGGCAATGTATTGTGGTGCATTTAAACGAAACAGATTTGTTTATAAATTTAATAAAAAACAATTTAGTCACATATTTAAGACATATTTAGAATTTGAAAGAATGCAATTAAATTCAAGCAAAATACTGCAAAATAAATTACAACCTACAAAATTTCAACTTTTTTTCTTTTTTTGTTTCTCTTGATTATTATTCTCTCTCTCTCTCTCTCTCTCTCTCTATCTTTAATTATTTTTTAAATTTTGTATTTAATATTTTTCTATATCATGTACATTTGGGTGTACTAGTTTTTAAACCATTGTCATAAGTTATTTTTGTTAGATAAGCTCCAGATTTGGTTTTCGTTCTGACTAATCTAATGTATATGCACAAATACAATATTGTATTGGTTCCAATTAAAATATGAATTTAGAAGATAGATTTGTGTGGGTAGTACTATATATATATAGTAGCTATATATATATATATATATATATATATATATATATATATATATATATATATATATATATATATATATATATATATATATATATAG